GGGTAAGCATGGAGTGCAAAGACATCGAGAGGGAGATCCGCTCGTCACATTTGTCTGAGATCGCCGAGGACACGGGAGAGGGTTGTTCTTTGTGACAGGCAGTCATGGAACACAGACGAGGCCGCACCATGATTTCATGTTTGAGTTGGAAGAGGAAGTGAGACAGACAGTGCATGATGCCACAGGCGAGGCCCAGTGTGTGGGCCGAGCCGTCAGAGAGACGGGCATTTGCTAAACGTGGCTCTAGTTGGCTGCAGTTCGAGTGTCTGTGCACTGAGAACTGTCTGTCCACTGAGACCCTGCGTTTGGGCAGCTCTGTGCTGGGAGCCAGCTGCGTGCGGCCCACACTGTGGAGTCTGCAGCCTGGAGTGCGGAGGGGTGGGGATATGGACAGGGTGGTGTGACAGGAGCGATGAGAACCAAACTGCACAAAGCGGAGACATTGGAAGATGGCCGCTGGGAAGACCTCGAGCACAGGAGGAAGAGGACCAGAAGAGGGTGGCTTTCAGTTGTACGGAACTGGGGAGGATTGTTGACAAGACTGTACAGTGTGGAAAAAGCTCGTCAACCGGTGAAGACAAACAGACCGTAGATTCCTCTGCAAATTCCTCCCCCTGGGAGCCCACAGGGCTGAACTGCTAAACTCTGAGGCCCGCTGGTTTTCTCAGGTGTTCATAGAAGATGTGCATTTACAGTCTGCCCACTTAGTGTCCCAGATGTGTGTTCTAGATTGGGGATCTCTGCAACTTTTTCTCTGATGGGCCAGACCATAAATGCTTTCAGCTTTGTGGGCCACAGGATCTTGGTTGCAAGTACACAACACTGCAGCTGTAGCAAGAAAGCAACTGTAGACTATGCAGAAACCAACAGGCATGGCTGGTTTGGCCATGGGCAGGAGCTCTAGAACCTTGCTACTCACAGCGTGGCCCCTGACCCAGAGTTGTCAGCATGTCTTGGTGCACCGCCATTCTACTGCTTGCCCCGATGTGCCTGAATTTCAAATCATAAGGCAAATTCCGGCATAGATTCTTGCTTGGCATGTATTTCTCTAATCATATTGTTTTCTTGCCAAGGCTGGACTGAGAGTGAAAGTTTGAATAAGCGGAAAGTGAAGACTAATTTGGAACTTGGGAGTCATGGAGAGGTGGGTCTGAAGGGGGTGTGGGAACTGGGTAGGCCACTCGGGGCCCAGCCCCAGGGAAGACACTGGGACAGTGGGAGGAAAAAAAAAACCACCTGGGAATGACAGTAGAGTCACATTGGGACAGGAGGGTGCCCAAAGTAAGGTGTTCCCATGCATAGAGTTTGTGTTGGGCTCACCTTTCTTCCATTCAACCAAAAACTGTTGGCCAGGCATGGTGGCCCACACCTGGAATCCCAGCACTTTGGGAGGCTGAAGTGGGAGGATCACGTGAGGACAGTAGTTTGAGACTAGCCTGGGCAATATAGCAAGACGCTGTCTCTCAAAAAAAAAAAAAAAGTCGAGTGTGGTGGTAATTACAGCTATTTAGGAGGCTGAGGTGGGAGGATCCCTTGAGTGTAGGAGTTCACAGCTGCAGTTTCTGCACTCCAGCTGTGTTTCTGCACTCCAGCTTGTGTGACAGTGTGAGAACTTGCTTCTAACATTTTTTTAAAAACATCACTGACTGCCCCATCTGAGGGAGGCACCGTCAGAACTGGAGGATGGGATGAGGAGACAGACACAAAGAGGACTCCGCCTCCCTGGGGGAATCTGAAGGCAAGGGAGACGAGACACGGGCAAAAGGACCCTTGGGGCTGTTGACAGCAGTCAGAGCCATGAGCAAATCGCAGCGTGTGTGTGTGAGGGTTCCTGGAAAAGACTGCACCTGACCTGCATGGGGGTTTCCACAAGTCCCATAAGATATCACGGAATAGGTGGAGCTGGCCTTTGAGAGAGGGGTATTTTAACATGTACAGGTGGGAGTTGAAAGGCGTCCCTAGTAGAGTGGACAGGACGGAGGAAGGCAGGGAGGGGGGAAACCAAGACGTCTATATGAAAAAGACAGTCCTGTTTGTGGCGACTCTATTCACGATCGCAAAAACATGGAACCAGCCAAGCTGCCCAGCAAAGCTGGACTGGATTAAAAAAATGTGGTACATATACACCATGGAATATGATGCAGCCATAAAGAAGGACACACATATGGACTTTGCAGCCACGTGAATGGACTTACAGTCAGTCTTACTCAGTGATCTATCACAGAAACAAAGAACAGAGTACCGTATGTTCTCACTCATAAGCAGACCTTGAACAATTACCTTAATACTATAAGAAAGGGATTGGCAGTGGTGAGAAACTGTCAGGGGAGGGGTGGGATTGGCAGTTGAGGGAAACTGCTAGGGGAGGGAGGGGCATAGCTCATCAGCAAGGGTCCCTGCACAATCAACGTTTGTATACCTAACCCTGAACTGTACCCCACGTCTTTAAAAAAATAAAAACCTTTAAAAAAGGCAATACTGGTTCATTTGCCCCTGTGTGTGTTGTACGAAGGTTTGAGCGATAATTTGAGGAAATTTAAAAGAATATTTTCCCCAGATGGAGAACTTTCCATATTGTTTCCCTAGTGAAGAGACTGTACCTTTGCAAGTAAAAAATAAGAGTAGTAATGATAGTGATACTAATAATAATGTAAATTGTGATCCAGTTGAGTAGAGCCATGAATTGCCAAATTAAGTTGATTTCGTCTGTGGGCAAAGAAAGCACATCGTTGACTTGGTATCCATCCCAATGAAACTGGAATCTTTTCTCTCTGAGAGGAACGTGGCCCATCCCACCCAGCTCTGAATTAAGGACAAAGTTATAAGAAGGAATGTCCAAGAAATAGTTTATTCCGAACAAGGAACACCGACTTGAACAGAGCCAGGAAATCTGGTGTTTCTAGAGCTCCTTCCAGCTCCTGCCCCTAATTCATGAAATCAGCCCAATAAAAACTCTTAGAAGAGCCCCCAGGGTCACAGGGAAGGGAGGAGCAGCCTGTCATTTCCTGGGGGTCAAGGGAGCAGGACTGTGCTGATGGGGAACTGAAGACTGAACAGTGTGCAAAGCAAGGAGACTCACGTGGACAACAAAACCCAGAAACAGCCTCAGCTCCAAGGGGGAAAACCATGACTATGTATTTTTTGAAAAAATAAAGTCATAAAACCTTACCATACACTAAGATGTCTCTTAAGAAGTCTGAGAGACGACACGGACGGCCCCAAGGATTGATTTCTCATGTAAAAAGTGACCCATGGGGAGTTGGTTAAAAAAAAATAAAAGTACAATTGAACTTCAGCAGGATAATCAGACGTCAAAGACCCCAGGAATAAAAGTTAGAAGAATCCCAGACACACAGGTTGTTTCCACAGAAAACCAAACTGCCAAGTGAATGAAATCAAAAAGCATCTCCAAATAATGATGACGATGATGACCGCCATCCAGTAAGTCATCCAAGGTGCTGGGTGTGTTACAGAGAGGGTCTACTGAACCTTCTAGCAGCCCTGCGAGGCTGGTTTTATTATCCCCATTTAAAAATGAGAAAACCAGCCGGGCTCGGGGGCTCAGCCTGTCATCCCGCGCCTTGGGAGGCTGAGGTGAGTAGATTGCCTGAGCCCGCGGGTTCGAGACCCGCCCGGGCAACTTGGCGAGACCTCATCTCTACAATAAATAAAAAATCAGCCGGGTGTGGTAGCGTGCGCCTGTAGTTCCAGCGACTTGGAAGGCTGAGGCGGAAGGATCGCTGGAGCCCAGCAGGAGCAGCCACTGCACTCCAGTCTGGGCGATAGAGTGAGACTCCCGACTCAAAAAAAAAAAAAAGAGAAAACCGACACTCAAAGTGATTGCATGGCTGGCCTAAGGTCTCCTGGTTAGTGACCAACAGGGCAGGAATCTGAACGTAAGCCTGACTCCGAAGTCTAAGCTTCGCACCCCACCCGCTCTGCCCCAGCCGCTCCCGATTCAAAGGCCAGCTGCTCCCTGAACAGATCAGAAAGTAGTCTGCTTTTGTGTGAACCCATTTTCCTTCTAGGGCAAAACTGCTGAGTCCCCATGCTTCCTAACTGATAGCCAGGGAGCCACCCCATCCAAGCCAGTTGAGTACCCTCAGTGAAATGATGCTGACAAGCTGATTTTACGCCCTTTCCAGGAGAGAAAACCCGGCAGGCTGGTGGAGATGGAGAGCTCTGCTGCAGGACCTGGCTTTCGAGGCAGCGCTGATAACCCTCTGTCGGCGACCCGTGATGGGTGACCCCGACTCTCTTTTGAATGGGCACCTGCCAGCCAGCCATCCCAATGCCGTGCGGGGCGTGGGGCGGGACTGCTGAAATCGAAAGGCAGGATGGTCTTCTGTGAACGAGGGGAGGCATGAGTCTGCAGCACGGAGACCTGGGGGACGAGGCTGGTCTTGCGTGCTATGCCCTCTTAGAAGGCCAGACAGACCATGGCGGGCGGAGAATGCAAATGAAGACACTTCAGGTTTTCTCCAGGGGTTTGGAGCGCTGTTCCGTAGCAGGGACCCACAAACCGGACATTTATTTTCCTGTCAGGGCTGCATCTTTCGAAAGTCCCCTCTGGCAAGCTAGAAGGGGCCAAACTGCAAAGTCGTGCCGGCCTCGTGGCTCTGGGGGATGGGAGTGCGCTTTAAACGCCAAGGCTACATTTTGCATGTATAAATGACTTTATAAATACCAAAGGCTTTCCACGTCTGCTACCAAACTGCATCCTCCCAATAACCTTGTGATCTGAAGTGGGGCCAAGACGTTTAACCCCTTTGGCAGGTGCAGAAAGAGGAGGCACAGAGAGGGCGTGACTCGTCTGAGGCCACACTGCGAAGCAGTCAGGCAGCTGGGACCGGAACTCAGGCTTCCCAGCTCCAAGTCCAGGGCTCTTCCCGCATCCGTGGTTTTCAGGGGTGAGACAGGGACCATCAGGGCGCAGAGAGGGGGCGGGCAGGGCGGAGACGCAGGGCGGGCAGTCTCGTTGGACGGCTGCAGCTGGAGGCTTAGCGGCTGCAGCCGCGAGGGCAGGGGTGGCTGAGGACGGTGTTGTTGGACCCGTCCTGGGGCTTGCCCGGGGCCTGGCCCCCAGCGCGGCCTTCGGTGTCCGAGGGTCTGCAAACAAGCACAGCGCACGTCCGAGTTAGCAGAGCGGAGTGAGTTGGGAAGACGCGTCCGGAAGCCTTCCGCCTACACCTTGCCGGCCTCGCCTGACTACCGAGGCGTCCAGGGTGCGGCGCTCTGGGCAAGACGGGCCTGGGTCAGAACCTGGCTCGGCTGTATTGAGATGGGTTACTTAACACACAGAGTCTCAGTTTCCCCGTCTCTAAAGTGGAGAAACCAGTAAAGGTGGTGAGCTCCAGCAACCTTCATTTAGTTGCACGGTGAATGGTGACGAATGCACCCACCGCCATGCCTGGAAGCAGCGGATGCTCAAGCAAGCACAACCGTCGTGCTCTCTGTTCTCAAGGAGCTCGCTGTCTAAAGGGAGCACCCAAGCCGTTCAGCAGAGATTTACAAAATATGCTATTACTTGGATAAAGTAAATGTGGAAAACACCATGGAGTACTACGCCGCCATGAAAAAAAGTGAAGTCACATCCTTTGCAGCAACACGGATGCTTATTCTAAGTGAATTAGTGCAGAAACAGAAAACTGCATGCCACATGTTCTCACTTAGAAGTGAGAGGTAAATGCTGGGTACATATGAACACAAAGAGGATTCATAAAGGGGTAAGGGAAGGAGAGGACAAGGGTTGACAAACCCATTGAATGCCATGCTCGCTATTTGGGTGACAGGTCCAGTAGAAGCCTAAACTTCACCATCACCCAATATACCCATGGAACAAACCTGCACGTGTATTCCTTGAATCTAAAATAACAAAAAAAATTAACCTTAGGAAAAAACGCACAACATATCCAGTTACTAACTCTAGTTTGAGAGAGTATGATCCTGAGTGTTGCATTTCTTAGCAGCCGACCACTCGGTCACCATCCCTCCATTTCTGATCTTTGAGCTCAGGTTCATCCACTATGCCATGACTATCGTGGCATGTGGATGGTCCAGGCAAGACATGGAATTTTTTAAAATTTATTTATTGTGGAGACGAGGTCTCACCAAGTTGCCCAGGTGGGTCTCGAACCCGCAGGCTCAGGCAATCCACTCACCTCAGCCTCCCAAAGCGCGGGATTACAGGCTGAGCCACCGAGCCCGGCCTAAGAAATGGAATTGAGACATTTAGAGCAGGGAGGCACTCAGCACTTCCTAGTGGGTTCTATTGGTCAAGTTGTGTTATTTTCTTCTGAGCCTCAGATTTCTTATCTAAAACTGGATATGATAACTTTCACTTTGCAGGAGGCCAAGGAGGTCAGAAAGAATGCATGTAAAACATCTAGTGTGGTGCTGGGAATAATAATAATTACAACTAGTTCTACTTTGTTATGCAAGACACAAGTTTTAGACTGAATGTACTTGGTTTTACACCGGGATGTTTCTGCCAAACAGTGCAGAGGATGGTCAGCACCTGTTGTCCCAATTTAGATGAAAAGGTTCTTTAACCCAGCAGCATGTGTGTGTGCTTGTCAAATACAGGGCCCTGGGGGTGATCCGCCATGGATACAACAGCCCATGCCCTTAGATGGGTCACAGTTGTGTGTGTGAATGTGACTGTGTGCACCGTGGGGAGTCCTAGTGTTTGCAACAGTGCTAGTATTTAAGTAAATCCTTCAGGTAGGACTGAAATAGTAGTAGCAACACGATGTTTTATGACAGTGAACCAGTGGCTCCTGCCCCCTGCCCTTTTTCCAAAGGCCACAGACCAGGTAGGCCGGTCTTCTCTCCCCATGGCTTGCTGCTCTCCAGGGAAAAGCGGCCATGATTAAAATACATTGTCAGGGTGGAGGAGGAAGCAGGACCCAGTGGGCGGAGCTGGGATCTGGAGGACGAAGCCGGCAGGGAAGAAAGAAGGTGGTCAGTCTCCCAAGGAAGGGCTGTCAGTTGCCTGAAAATCTCTCTCCCCTCCCCTCTTCTCTTTCCTTGACTCCAATTTAAGTGACTTTATCAAGCACCTCTGAAATGCAAACCACATCAAAATTAGGGAAAACTCAAGTGATTAAGACAACTATGGAAGTAAAATGGAAACAGATACATTTCAAAAAGTAAGCATCATTGTTTGGTTCGCAACTGTAAGGCCACCAACTCATCTGGGTATATTGCAGGGCGAAAATGAATCCCATTACAGATTTCTGTTAAATGCCAAAATACTGGTATTTTTGAACCCAAAATAACACAGTATACTCAGATATAGTTATATTGAGAACTCCTGTACCTCTCTCATTATAACACACAAAAAAGCTTCAAAATAAAGAGTCAAGCATAGTGAAGAGGGAGCCTTGATGAGGGAGACGTGGATTCTGAAATCTTCTGCGGATCAGGGGAGATTTCCCTCAAAAGGCTGCATTTGAGCTGGGCTTTAAGGGTTGGGTCAACTTCCACCATTGGGTGTCAATTGTGGCTAGCTGGGGGAGGGAGGAAGAGGGAGAGGAAGAGGGAGAGGGAGAAAGGGAGGGAGAGAGAGAGACAGAGACAGAGAGATCTGGAATCAAAGGACACCCTGGGGTAGGACACAGAAAACAGAAAAGAATGCTGTGGTAATGGCCAGAATCCTCTCTGAGGTGATCATCTTGCAACTATGACTCAGTCTCATGAGCTTATGGCTCAATCAGAACTATTTTTATTTATTTATTCTTTATTTTATTTTAATTTTTTTAACTTTAAGAATTTTTTTATTTTAAAATTGTGGGGTCCATTTCAGGGTTAGGCATACAAATATTCACTGTGCAAGCACCCTTGTTGATGAGTTGTGACCCCCTTTCCCCAGGCGGATTTCCACGACTATCAGTCCCACCTCCCCACCCCTCTCCGCTCTGCAGTTTCCCGCTCAGTCGATCCTTTTCTTATAGTATTGCGGTAATTGCTCAAGGTCCTCTTATGAATGAGAACATGTGATACTCAGGTCTTTGTTTCTGTGAAAGATCAAAGTGTCATAAACTCTAGTTCCATTCAGGTTGCTGCGAAGTTCATGATGTTGTTCTTCTCTATGGCTGCGTAATATTCCATTGTGTATATGTACCACATTTAAAAAATCTAGTCCTCTTTTGATGGGTGGCACGGTTGGTTCCATGTTCTTGCTATTGTGAGCAATGCTGCGATAAACATACGTGTGCAGGTATCTTTTTTATAGAGTGATTTGAGTTCTTCCGGGAATATTCCCAGTAGGGGGATTGTGGGGTCATATGGAAGGTCGATTTTTAGAACTTTTAGTTATCACCACACTGTTTTCCACAGAGGCTGTACTAGTTTGCACTCCTACCAACAGCGCAGAAGCGTTCCCTATTTACTACATCCTCTCCAGCATCTGTTATTTTTTGAGTTATTGATGATGGCTGGAAACATCCATTCTGACTGGAGTTAGGTGGTATCTCAGTGTAGTTTTAATTTGCATGTCAGAACTATTTGAAAGAGTAGAATTGACTGTTTCAGGTTTCCCATCTTCTAGAGGAGGGCCTTATCTCACTATATGTGATTTGCAGGTATACATCTCCTTTGTTTTTTTCTCCCTTTGAGAAAACCTGAGATGAAACTTCACTCCTTCAACTTTTTTTTGTCAGTTCCTGTAACTTTTTTTTCCAGGTATAATTTTGCTATTATGGCTTGATGTTGAAATGCTTATTTTAATGCCTAGAAAAGGCCATATTTTCCTTCAGTATAACTTGATTCTTGTACTCTTGACATGAATCATGATATGCATGAAGCATTCCATGAAACCAGGAAATTTTCGATGCTGTTACTAAGAGCCATGTATACCTCTGCTTAAGGTGCTAGTTTTCTTGTTTACATTCTTCTATAACAGAGTGTATATTCATAACATTGGACAAATTCTTCCTATCTGATTAAGTCAAGTATTATTTTCATTAGGTTTGGCTTCCGGGTTATCTAAACGAACTTTCCAGAACGAGAAACAATCACGCTGTAGGAGATTTTTCTTTACTACTTTTTGTAGCTGGCCCAAGAAACAAAGATTTAATGTTTTATCAAGGTAATTTCCTGTGTTGCCTTTATTAGGTTTTTGAATGCACAGGAAAACTGCACTTTGAAAGTTTTAAGGTTTTTATATCCATGTAGCTTTCTGTATTGCTTTCAAAGTCTTTTAATTATAACTCTGGTTAAATAAATGACTATTATTTTACAGTGACCTGTGATTGTTTTGATCAAGTGTTTTGAACCTTTTAATGTTTTTGACAAACTTCTTTGAAATGAGGCCTAAATTTTTTTTCTTAACCTACAATTGACTTTGGAATTTTCCATTTGGGTCCCTAGAAAGCATCAAGGGATATATCTCTCCTCTTGTAAAGACAGTAAATGACTAGGCTTATTTATTAAGCGACATAAGAAACACTGTCAAATAATAAATGGAACCAGATTGCTTTTAGTTGCATTTATGGATATGTTGTTGATAGGAATGTTTCAAAAATGATATAAATTCATAAACATCTAATATGTTATCAGTCACAATTCTAATTGCTATTTTAAAATGCTATATATAATAGGGATAAACGAATTTTCTTGTTGATAGTAAGCTTGCATAAGATTTTTAACCATGACTGGCCTATGTTTTGTCAACCTCCGTTATCGTTTTGAATTATTTTTCTAAAAACATTTACAATCAGATTCATGAAAAAGATGCTAAAAAGTACTTTTTAATATAGGTTTCTGGTTACTTTAAGCTCAAGGAACTAAAAACCAATTTCCAGAACTCTAATAGAGAAACTGATGAATGCATGAAGCTACTAATCAAGATCAAGCAGAACAAAAGCTGATTTCATGAGACTGAATAACTAGTGAAGACACTTTTATGACTTTTATTTAAAACATTTTTTGGCTCTTCACGTAAATGTTTTATTTTCTAACTTTAAGGAAATTTGCTCTCTTGAGCTACGTACGTATACCCTTTACTGCAATTTGGTGAAGAATACTTTTGTAAACAAAAATAAAAGTGTTTTTCAAATTCTCTTTCTTACTTGATTCTTTCAGAATTCGAAAATGATTTGTGAATGTTCTTACAGCAAATGGTTATTTGCACAAGCCCAATAAAGTTATGCTCTCTCTTTATAGCAAAGAAAAATTAAAAACGCTGGCTTTAGCACCAAGACTTTGACTGAAATGTCATATTTTAAAATATGCATCAAATGCCTGACTTCAAGCATTCCCAGCCTTACAATGAGTAAATAAAAACGATTACTTTTTGGAAAACCCAGGAAACTTAAGGTTGTTAGTAAAGCCTAATGCTTGCCTTGGTTTGGATTACTAGGCTCAAGAGGTTTTAACTCTGAGATTCCTGTACACATGTAGAAAAAATGTGTATTTCCAAAGAAATACAAATGGGTGGTAGGTGTTACATTACTTTTGAGTTTTCATTATCTATCTATAGACTAGACTAGGTCCTACATTATTCTAGGTTCCTCCAATTCAACTTTTTTCTTCCCATAAACCAAAACTGGACCTGCTTTCTTCCTAAAGTCTCATAAGCTGAAGCTAGGTAAATGTTTATTTATTTATTTGAATTGGAGTCTCACTCCGTCATCATCTTGGCTGGAGTGCAGTGGCATGCACACGGTCACCCCAACATCGACCTACTATGCTCTGGCAATCCTTCTGCCTCAGCCTTCCAAGTAGCTGGAACTAGAGGTGCACACCACCATGCCTGGCTAATTTTTGATTTATTGTAGAGATGAGCTCTCGCCAAGTTGCCCGGACTGGTCTTGAACCCACGGGCTCAGGCAATCCATTTGCCTCGGCCTCCCAAAGTGCTGGGATTACAGGCTGAGTCACCGAGTCCCAAATTTTAAGGAGCAGGTTTCATATCTGATGTATGGACCACACAGAAGTTTCACCAAACTGTCTGATGCCATCATCAGAGACATTAAACTGCAAACCACAATGAGAAGTTGTTGTCTTACATACTATAAATAGCTTTTCCTATGATGTTGGAATAAGGCTCCATATCATAATGAGATCCTGATGCTCCTTCATGCTAGCATTTTCATTTGGCAGGATAATGCAGCAATTAAAATTTCACAATCAGTAACTGACATAGGCAAATTAGACAAAACTTTTTGTTGAAATTGTACAGTGACCCCTTTTGTAAAGTTGATGTTCTCTGCTTTCATTAAACCCAGTCATAAAATACTACTCAACGGCAGATTGAAACAGGACCCCTACCTATCACCATACACAGAAATTAACTCTAAATGAATCAAAGACCTAAACATAAAACCTCAAACTATAAGACTCTTAGAAAATGCAGGAGACACCCTTATGGAAATTGGAACTGGCAACCAATTCCTGATCAAAACCCTAAGTGCCCATACCACAAAAAATAAGATAGACAAGTGGGACCTCATCAAACCGATGAGTTTCTGCAAAGTAAAAGAAACCACCAAGAGAGCAGGGATACAGTCCATAGAATGGGAGAAAATATTTGCCAAGTGTATATCTGACAAAGGCTTAACATTTAGGATCTACAAGGAACTCAAATACGCTGAAAGGAAACAAACAAACAGCCCCATTAAAAAGTGGGCAAAAGACATAAATAGACACTTCTCAAAAGAAGCTATATGGGCAGCCAACAGACACACGAAAAAGTGCTCAGCCTCATGCATCATCAGAGAAATGCAAATCAAAACCACATTGAGATACCACCTAGCCCCAGTGAGAATGGCCATCATTAATAAAACAAACAACAGCATGTGCTGGCGAGGATGCGGAGAAAAAAAGGAATGCTTCTACACTGCTGGTGGGAATGCAAACTAGTGCAGCCTCTTTGGAAGACAGTGTGGAGATTTCTGAAAGAACCAGAAATTGACCTTCCATATGACCCTGCCATCCCCCTATTGGGAATATACCCAGAGGAACTCAAATCATTCTGCCATAAAGATACCCGCACATGCATGTTTGTTGCAGCTCTATTCACAATAGCAAAAAAATGGAACCAACCATTTTTTTAATCCAGTCCATCGAAGCTGAACTGGATAAAAAAAAGTGGTACATATACACAATGGAATATTATGCAACCACAAAGAAAAACAAACATATGAACTTTGCAGCAACTTGGACGAATTTGGAGTCAATCATACTCAGTGATCTATCACAGAAACAAAGAACAGAGTGCCATATGTTCTCACTCATAAGTGGACCTTGAACAATGATCATAGTACTATAAGAGAATGGAAGTAGCAGGAAACTGCCAGGAGTGGGTTAGGACTGGTAGTTGAGGGAAACTGCCAGGGGAGGGAGGGGCACACCTCATCAACAAGGGTACCTGCATAATCGATATTTGTATCCCATATCTTTAAAAGAAAAAAAATACTACTGAATTGCTACAGCAGGTCTCACCCAGATTCCCCTATGGTCTTTCACTTCTAGCTTGTTGCCATTAGGCTTGAGATCTTAGTTCAAAACTATTGTACAAACTAAATTTGTTTTATTATTGTTAATTACTTTTAGTGTTATGATTTTTAAATGTTGTTCTTACTGTCTGCTTAATCTTTGCAGTGTCAACTCTCTTAATATGACAATGTCCGTGCAATGCCTCAAGATGACTGCTGATTCCTACAGTCTAATAAGATGAAAATCGATACTAGATTCCAGACAATCCTACTCTGAGAAGCTTTTTCCTTCTGGCCTCTTTGTTACTCAAATGTGGCCTGAGACCCTGACACATACCCACATACCATCTCCTCAACATAGGGCAGAAACAACCAGGACAAGTCCATCCTGGTGCCAAGGGACAATTAAGATGGTTGATCAGTGATACTTATGAAAAAAGATCTTGATCAAAAGGGGGAAAATATGAAAGTTTTTCCCATGAATTAGGTCATTCTTGTCATATCCAACTAAAACAGTAGAAAAGTTAGGGCAGAAAATCACTCAGATGATAAAGCATAGCTTCAAAATTGTAATTGTCTGCAACCCTGGCAGCTGAAACCTGAAACCAGTTTTATTTACTGGTTACTGACATGAACTCTGCAACCCTAAGTCTGTTTTTCTCACTGCTGTGACTTACCAATGAGAACTTACCTGTGCCTCAAAATCTTACCATTGTCAATGAAATGTCTCAAAGAGCAACACATTTCTCTTTTTAATAAAACCTCTAACATTCTCTTTGTTCTTTGAACATACTGAAGACCACCAGGTCTGTGTGTATGCCCCAGACTACAATTCTTTCCTCCCAAATAAAACAACTTAAATTTTTTACTTAAACATTTTAAAAGCCCATAAAGTTATGGGCTACGAGTGTAATTTGGTTATGCAGATTGCACAGTAGTGAGGTTGAGGCTTTAGGATGTATAATGAGAAATTATTTAATGTGTACAATGCATGTTATTATGGCGATGGATGCCCTGACACATTTTAATTTTAGAGGTTCATCTCTGTATTTTATCTGAGTTTGACGTGGGGAGCACTGTCACCATGAGTCCTGGAGGCCGAGCCCAGTACCTCAATGCGGTGTGGGCGATGTCCCTTGCAATTTACCTCTGAGCTCAGTGTCTCAGCTGGAGGCAGAATCATAGGACATACTGTTCCAGAGGCATCTGCCCAACCACCTGCAAGCTTCCCGTTGGATGGGGGGGTTGCAGCTTAACGTCTCTGGTTGTGGCGTCAGCTTGGATTCTCATATAATTCTGGGGGCTCCAAAGCTTATGTTTTCTCCACCACATCTACACACTCAGCCCCCCACTTAACCATTCACCATTCATTCACCATCCACGCATCCGTTTTCTACACCTAAAAATCCATCCATCCATCTATCCACTAACGGGTCCATCCACTCATTCACTTCCGCCATCCTTCCATCTATTGACTCACCCATCCACCCCTCAGCCCACTTATGTATCCATCTGCCCACTCATCTACGCCAACTGTCCACCCATCCATTCCCACACCGTCCATCCATTCACGCCCCCTTGTTCACCCCACCCGACCACCTGGACACCTGTCATCTACCTGCCCATGTGCCCATCCGCTCATCCAATTTCCACGCACCCACCCACTCTCATATTCACCCACTCATGCATCTGCCCTCCGCATCCACTCATCCACTCATCTTCCACCCAGCCATCCGTCCGTCCATCTACCACCCCATCATCTACTCATCGCCCATTAACTACCCATCCATCCATGTCATTCATTCGCTTTCACCTGTCCACTGATTCCCCTTTCCCTCTCTCCTTTCGCTCTTCCTTTCCATCAGCATTATCTGTATGTCAGGCTCACCACCGAAAGGGTCAGAGAGCAAGACAGAGAGCAAACAGCGAACATCCCTTGTGATGAGCTCTGCACCGCACTAAGAGCTTGGAGCCAAGCTGCTTGGCTCCAGTCTTGGGTCTGCCACTTGCTAGTCACGTGACTTTGGGAGGCTAGTGTCAAACCCAGGGCTGTCTGTCTCTAAGACCTCCGCTCTTCCTGCTGAATTCTGTGCCTCTCAACCTGGACCTGGAAAGAAGAGAGCATGGAATGAATTTTCCATGCTCTGATGGAATTAGAAAGGCTCCGATGGCTCAAATAGGAACACATGAACCAAGACAAAGATGTAAAACCGTTACAGTTGGCTTTGAGAGTTCACTGACGGGACTAGCCCACATCCCAGTTATCTATAACTCAGGAGGAAATTAAAAAGGATTTCACATATATTGCTAGGTATAGCTCACTTCTACTGATGCGGATTGGTTAGTTATCTCCGCAGTGGCAGGTTTAATTTCTCAGCCCACTTATCAAATTAATTGTCAGCTTTGTGACCAGAATTATGAGTGATGGATGTGAGTGCGCGCAACCCCCTGAACTCAACTATGAGATGCCAGAAGGAAATCCTCTGTGATAGAGAACCTCAGTCAACGAGAGTAGGATGCAGTGACATTTTGATACATCAGGCTGGAGGCATTTTTCGAAGGCAAAGCACCGCATAGGAGTCAAAGAAAATGGCTGGCAATCTAACGAATTTCAAATCGAGCTATTACACACATCTAGAATGGTCAGTTTTACAGCAACATCAGTCAGCTGCAGACGGTCCTCAGGCGAGGCCAGGTCTCCTGGATGAGAGAGACCAGCTTGCTCTGTGCAGCCAGGTTTCAAAAAACAAAAACATTTTAAGGTACTTCCTCCTCTATCCATGTCATTTTACTCATTAACTTCCTGCCATAGCTCTAATGATGTGTCCTGATGAGGAGCTGCCCCGACAGCTGGTTCTGTGAGCCTCATCCCGGGGGGCCAGGGCAGAAGACAGAGGAGTGGAGAGTGCTGGGAAGGAGTACACCAGAGTGCCTGAGAGGCAGGGCCCAAAGTGGGCAAACAGGACGACAGGCGGAGGGAATCCAGCCCCAGGAGTCAGAGCGGGGACCAGAGAGGTCTGCAAGCCAGGGAAGACGAGGGCGTGGCATGGCATTTGAGCCAGTCTCTTCTCTGGGATGCTTCTCTCCTCCACAGGGCAAGGTCCACAGCCCCCGGGGCGGTAGCCGGCTTGGGACAGGTGTAGAATCAAGGTGTGCTGCATGGATGGGCAAATGAATAAGGGGAGAAATGACCCAGGCTGGTTTTCACCCCTCATTTGCAAGGGGTATGTATGAGCACAGGTTGGTGGGCTCCGTCTCGACATCCTGATGGGGAAGGGGGCTAGTTGTTATTAGATGGAGTAACGGCATGTCCCAGCAGGACAAAAATGGCATGACCGTTTGCAGAACTGGCAAGCTGGCAGCCCCTGCGGTTGTTGATCTGCGTGAACTAGCATGCGAGGGGTTTTTGCTCTTGTGGCTGAAGGGCTTGGGATAGGTCATTTATTATTTTGTTTACACGGCTGTGTGTGTTGATTAAAAACTGGAGACAAGATAATGTTGGACACGGCACTTAATTGAATGCCACTCTATTGGTCTGCTAACTTTGTATGTAATTAATATCACTAGCAAACGCTTGTATAGAGCGGTGTCACAGGGGCTGCTAATTGCTTAGCGTGTATATCATTTGTCTTTACAATGGTCCGATGAAGTAGGGACTAATGCTCTGCTTTACAAATGAGGAATCTGAGACGCTAGTGTGAAGTCCGAGGTCCCAAAGCTAAAAGCCAGGACTTGAACCTAGGCGATCTGTCCCCGAGTCTGTGCTTTCAGCCACTCACGTATCCTGCCTCTCTACAGGTCAAAACAAAAACAAAAATCCCCAAACCTAGTTGGAATTACCAGAAAGTTTCGGAAGGACAAGCACTGAATTGAATAATGGTTAAGTGGTGGGAAACGGAGAAAAGCACAAAGTCATCAGCCAGTCTCACTCAAACCCTGCTCCCTCCTCCCCAGGTAGCCGTTCCACCTGGGAATAGCGCAGATCCCTACAGACTTTGTCTTCACACAAAACTGAAACTGAAAAAGCTTCTGCCTGATGGCTCTGCCACCACCTCACCCCCATTGGCCTTAGGTCTGCTTTCTGAACTTATTCAGATGGACCTGGTTTCCTTCTCATGGGATATTCCTCCAACTCTTAGAAGCCCCCGGGCTGACTGTCTTCTATCTCCTCTGAGACCCACCCTGCAACACCTCTGCCTGCTCTCAGGCTGGGCGTCTACTTGGGGTGTCCGTGCTGGAGGGCTTCCAGCTGGGCATAGCTCACGGGGCACCCGGGCAGAGATCAGAAAGAGTGAGAGGAGTTAAGCCCGGGCACTGGTTTCCCCGCTCCTTCCTGCACTGTCACCTTGAGCTGCTGGTAACATTGGAGGCCGCGGCTCCTATCAAGGCAGCCCCCTCCAAGGGTGCTACCATGAGGCTCTCCGACGCCTCATCGCCTCCAGTCTCCAGGTGGTAAGACACGCTGTGATGTTCCTGCACCCACCCCATGTAAGTAAACTTGCCTTTGAATCCCTCTGGGGTTCTGACAGAAACAGCATCTTTCCAGTCTCTCATGAGGTTTCTCTCTTTTACGTAAAAACTCAATACAGTTGGCTGTTCCATTTTCAGATCTCATCTCCTATTGAGACGATCAGCTCATCTGCAATTCTTATCTCACAAATTCAATAGCAGTCGTTGGCCAGACGCATTAAGATTCTGTCTGTTTTATCTGCCGTTGCCTGAAACCAAACGTACTTGAGAAAGTCTTTGGCTGGAGTCAGCCAAACCATGGGTGAGAGAGACCGCAAAATGCTGTGGATTCTCCAGCCAAACTCCCCTTTGCCTTCCTCCACCCCGCTGCAGGTGAGATCAGCTCTGGTAGAACTGAGATCAGGAAACCTTTCTCCTTGCGCCTTTCCTCAGCTGCCTGCTTTGGCTGCCTTCTTGAGTTTGGTGGCAGAGCTGGGAGACTCTGGAGCTCTTGACCCTCAAGTCTTGCACCTTTTGGAAATAACTGGTTTACAGTAGAAGAAAATGAATGTAATGAGCGGAGAAAGAGAAATAGCTGGGACAAGGAACGAGTGAGTGCCAGGAAGGTTTCTAGCACAGATCCCAGCTCCCTTGGGTCCAGCTGCTCCCCAGCCCATCCTGGGGCTGCATGAGTCCTTTAACGTCCCACTTCATCGAAATAATTTGATACTTGTTTTCTCACTTGCAGCCTCCCAGAAGCCACCATTTATGCTGGTCTCTGTCTCCACAACCTCTGCTAAATTGAGTCTAGCCTAAAGTGTCTTTCTTGTATATTTCAAGTTTGGTCTAAAAATTTCTCCTTACATGGTGAGCCATAACCTAACTGGATGTGTCAGCAGACTATAATCCTCTTTTACCCACCACTGAGTTTTGGCAGCAAAAGGTGGCTGACTGTTCAAATGTTGTTCAAATAAGGCAACGCTGAGCTGTAACCAATCCAGCTATTTCTGTAAATCCCTTTCCCTTTGCTATCCGTAAATCCTCTGATCTCAAGGCAGTGCTGGAGCATCTCTGAACCAGTTCTGGTCTAGGGCGGGGAAGTTGCTCGACTCACGAATTGTTCTTTGCTCAGTTAAACTCTGTTACATGCAAATCGTCTAAAGTTTTTCTTTTAACATGTCCTAAAGTTGCACTTTTCCTAGGCCAAGCAACAGACTGGTGGCCGGGCTCGGTGGCTCAGCCTGTAATCCTGCGCTTTGGGAGGCTGAGGTGTGTGGATTGCCTGAGCCTGCGGGTTTGAGACCCACCTGAGCAACTTGGTGAGACCTCATCTCTACAATAAATCAAAAAATCAGCTGGGCATGGTAGCGCATGCCTATAATTCCGGCTACTCAGCAGGCTGAGGCGGAAGGATCGCCGGAGCCCAGCAGGTCGAGGGTGCGGTGGCCGGGAGCGGCCACTGCACTCCAGTCTGGGCGACAGAACGAGACTCCAACTAAAAAAAAAAAAGATACATCTGGATCTTAACACAGAACTTTGCGATGGACAAAGTTCTTCTGCATACTCCTTACACGTAATGCAATTTAAAAACCAATTCCTTCTGTTTTTCACCAACCTTCAGAAAATTCTGTCCCCTTCACTGTCTCGTTAGTTGCTCAAAATAACCCTGTGGGAAGGCAGAATTGCTGTGTGTGTGTTTTTTTTAAATTTCCATTTTGTGTACGGAATCTTGGGTTCAGAGATTTTGAGTCATTGGCCAAGTCCACACAGGGACCGCTAGTGACAGGCAACTAGTGACAGAACCAGAACGGAATGCAGATCTGATTGCTGCTGGCACCTTCCTTCTAACTTTTTTCAACAAACCTCAAAACCATGGGCTTGACAAACATGATTTTAACAGATGCCTATTATATCTCTACCTGTGTTGTACTTTGAGGCTGAAAGTATTTCTTCACATAGGATTTTTTTTTCAGATCAAAGTTCTAATATCCTCTCCCCCAAATGCTTAATGGTTGGTGAAAACTCTGCAAATATTTGCTCACGCACAAGAGATACTATCTTATAACTCTTTGCACAGATTTTCCTTTCCACTGACTTTCACCATCGGTGTCAGTTTGATCGACCGATCCAGCTAATGTTTATGGCAGGCCCTGGACGTTCAAGGCAGCACATGGCAGGCACTGAGATTTGGAGGCCTGGGTTTGATGTCGGGCTCCAGCAGCTACACAGTCTTGGGCAAGACAATGCACCTTTCTGAGCTTCAAACTTCCATCTGTTAAATGGAGGTAACTGTTCAACCCTATCGACAAGCGCAGACTTCTTTCTAGGTTTAAAGGTGATAAGAAAGGGGAAAAGTCCTCAGAAAGTGCCCAAAGATCAGCTGACGAGAATAAGGCACTTTACAGTCACCAGAAATATCTCTGTCAAATGCGTGTATATGTAAAATTTATACTAATTTACCTAGATCAAATGTCAATACTTTCTAAATTACAACAATTTTTATTTAAAATTATTTGTTTGCAAAATAACTTTTCTAATGACTTACAATTTTGGTTGAAATTTGGGAGATCAAGAGTTAAAGAGCAAAATGGCACTGCCAATAAGGATGCCTTTATAGGGTCCCTGGGTGTGTATCTGTTTTCTTGAGGTGCCTGGGAAATTTTCACAAACTGGATGGCTTAAAACAGCATAAAAGTATTCTCTCACCGTCCTAGAGATCAGAAAGTGGTAAGTCAAGGCTTTGGCAGGGCCACCTTTCATTTGAAGTCGGTGGGGAAGTGTCCTTCCTTGCTTCTTCCAGCTGCTGGTGGGGCCGCCACACCTCGGCCTCCTCTGGGCTGTGGCAGCGTCTCTCTGATCTCTCCCTGCATCTTCATGTGGTCTTCCCTGCCCAGGTGTGATTATCTGTAGGGCCTATCCTAATGTCACATGACCTCATCACATCGTGATTGTTTTTGAAAAGACTCCCAAATAAGTTCACATTCACAGATACCAGGGGTGAGGGCTTCAACATATCCTTGAGAGGGACACAATTCAACTCACAACAGAATGAGAATTCCCAGGCGTTTTCATAAGAAGCCAGGGTGTCAAATTACAACTAGAATAAGTGGTGGGGGAATCAACCTTGAGGACTCATCAAAGAAGTTACCCTAAGTGCTTATTTCAGAACATCTCACTGTTTATACTCCACATTTTACAAACATTCCTAGCAGTACCATTAGTTTACATCATTTTAATATTTTAATTAAAGTTCCATATTTATAAAAAAAATTAGGGCAACCCCTTCGGGTCCCCTCCCACTGTGGGAGCTTTTCTGTCCTCTCAATAAATCCTGCTTTAAAAAGAAATTAAAAGTGAGAGTCAAGAGTGGAATAGTGAAAAAGAATATGGGCTTGAGAATCCCACAAACCTACATGTAGAATCCCAGCTGTTAAGTAAAATGCATCACTGTGACCGAGGGCAAATGGCTTATTTTCTCTAGATGCCAGTGCCTGCAAATCAAGGTTCTAGTGAGGATTAATTGTAGATCAAATGTGAATGTGTATAAAGCACCAAACACTGTTCGTGGCATACAGTAGCTTTTCAATATGTTCAGAAAATATTAGTACCCTCCATGTCTTTTATGTTTGTTTTTTAACTTTCCATTTAAAAATTTTTATTCCATTTAAAAATTTTCCATTTTTTATATGTCAGGATCAGTCATTTTTGTTTATTTAGAGACAGGGTCTTGCTCTGCCACCCAGGCTGAACCCACTCCTGGGCTCAAGGGATCCTCCTGCCCTAGCCTCCAGGGTAGCTGACACTACAGGTGCATGCCTCCATACCTGGCTAGTTTTATATATATATATTATTATTATTATTATTGTAGAAATGAGGTCTCACTATGCTGCCCAAGTTGGTTTCAAACCCCTGGCCTCAAGTGATCCTCCCACCTCGACCTCCCAAAGCACTGGGATTATAGACATGAGTCACTGAGCCCAACCTCTGTCACCCTTGAAAAGCCAGGCTGCGGCTTCCTTGAATTGAGACCTGAGTGAAATTGGCAAAGGGCCCTGATTTGTGTGCAGTCTCCTGATTTTGAGTTTTCATGGAACTATTAGGGTTCTATGATCTCAGCAGCTTTTACTGGCCACCTTCACCTCTGGCTGAAATTCCTCCTGTGACTTCAGGTCACTGAGCTGATCTTCCCTAGCAGTTGGCAGGGCAATCCCCTGCTTGGTGTCCCATGGCTCCTGCTAAGCCTGGCCCTGTCTTGCTCAGTCTCCTGAGCTTTGCCCTTCCTGCCATCTCATTGAGCACATGTTCTAGATTTCTGAGATCTGGAAACACCATTCAGGTCAGAAGTGCGTCTGGATCAGTTCACTGACTGGGAAACTGGAATAAAAACACCTGCCGATAGAATCTTGAGGCACTACCAAATTGTGACTTTCCCCTCCAGGTTTACGTTTGTCTCTTACTTTTAACTGTGTGTGTATAGGGGAGATAAATTAAAAAAAAAAAGTTCAGGCGCTGTGGTTCAAGCCTGTAATCCCAGCACTTTGGGAGGCAGAGGTGAGAGGACTGCCTGAGCCCATGGGTTTGAGAATAGCGAGGGCAACTTGATGCGATCTCATCTCCATAATAAATCAAAAAATTTATTAAATCAAAAAAACGTGTTGTTCCGGCTACTTGGAAGGCTGAGGCGGAAGGATCGCCTGTCGGAGCCCAGCAGGTTGACACTGGGTGGCCGTGAGCATGCTGCTGCGCTCCAGCCTGGGTGACGGAGTGCGACTCCAACTCAGAAAAAAAAAAGAATCTTGAAGGGAATGGACTGAGAAAACGGCCACAGGGGCTCCCCCATGGCTCAGCACACAGAAGGCTGCCTTGGCTGTTCATTGCCTTTTCCGTTTATCCTCACCTATAGAATCAAGGTTTGGACCACAACGCTTAATTCAGAGATCGGACAGACCTAAATGTGCTGGCCTTGATTTCGGGAGGCCCAGATTTCTGAAAGATGCCACTTCCCAGCAGTGGAGTTTGGGGGAAGGGACTGAGTGAGTGTCAAGGCTTTGTCCCCGTTTTACAGATTAATGTATTTCAATAATCTGTGACACACAAGGAATAAGCCTTCCTTTTCTTACTGGTGGCTGTTGAAAAGATAAGGAGGTGTTAAAGCACTTTGCAAATGGCACAGTGGTAAAGTCAAGGAGTCATTGATATCTAGACCGTTGAGGGCACAGGTGAGAAGCCTGAGGCTCAAAGAGGCTGCAGCACCCACCAGGGTCAAAGTGCAGTGAGCAGCAAGACCAGGACCTGACGCCGGACCATCGAGTCCCCAGACTTGAGAGGAACCATGCCCCTCATTGGCTCCAGCTCCCAGGGGACTGGAAGATCTCTATCATACTGCTGGGGTCCTCTAAGGCCAGAGTCCTCCAGCAGGCCGCCTGCCTGGGCAGATGAAGTCTGCAAACTTTAAAGAGGCTTTTGATTGTTTATCTCACTGTGGCTTTAGTCTGGGCATCCTCCATCCCAGCTGAGTGTGTCTGTGGTTTGCTGCTGTCATGCGGTCTGAGGACGGGTAAGGAAGAGGCACTGAGTTCGTGTCAATTTGTATGATCGTACCCTGAAATGTCTGGGTTCACCAACAGATGGTGTCTACAGGGAGAGTGGCCGCTCCTTGTCCAACATGCAATTTGCGTGGCCAGTCCTTGGCTCTGGAACCAGACCACCTCCAGGGAATACCTGCTTTGCTACCTCTTAGCCTCAGCCTTCTCTGGGCCTGCACTTCCCGGCCTGTGGAACAGGGGAGTAAAAGGAACTAGCTCACAGGATGGCTATCCAGACTCAAGGACATGGAGTGGGTGCCCAGTAAACGTGAGCTCTCATGATCACCTAGGCCATGCCAACCACTGCATGCCATCCATATGCACTGGAGAGAAACCTCAGAGCCATCCACTTGGACAAAGGAACCCTTCCTGCATATCTTAAAGCTCATGCAATATCAGATTTTTAAATGAATATTTTCAAGGGCTTTAAGGTAGGTTTAATGTGATTTTAAATCTGTTCTTGTTTCATCAAGAGATGACAAGGATAGAAAATGCAGCTTCTTAAACTCCTTTCTCACCTGGACCTTCTTATTCTACAAATGTTGTCAAGTGCTTTTGAAAAGACGTCTTGGAAAAATCATCCTTGCTCAGAGCTTTGGCCAAAAATAGGAGGACGAGCTCCATGGAAGCCTCAGCTGCCAAGGCCTTCAAAGCCCCGACCAGTTCCAGAAGCAGAAGCTCCACCTGGTTCTGTGGCCTTTGCCAGCTGAGACCGTTAGCCAATAATAAGCTGCATTTCCAGAAAATTAGGCAGTGCTAATTTGAATTTTGTTCTCTGTTTAGAAACAAGGGTCCGGAGAGGTTAGACCCAGGGCACCTCCTCCTGTCTCCCCAGTGGTCCACGAGTGTCTGCTTCCTGGCACACACAGCACTGTTTGGTGACCATCCCCCCTACAGGCTGTGGGTATGCGAAGGACATGGGTCCTGAGGACTCACTTCTGGGTGAGGCTCAGTCCGGGCTTATGTCTTAGTTGTCAAAGGACTGAATGAAATTGTCCTGCGAGGCTGGCCCAGTGGATGCCCTGCCCACCTCCTCTCAGGTCTCATTTGCTGCTTCATACAGATGATGGCCTCTTCATCACGGTGGGAGTTGCCAGAAACTTCTCTCTGCCCAGGAGCTTTTTCTAGCTGGGGACGCATACTTGGCCCAGGTAAGAGGCAGTCACCTGTGCAGGGAAGGGAAGGCCCCAGGAGCATCCTCAGCCAGCGGGGGCTGGAGTTGCAGCTGAATCCTCCCGGGGTAAGAGAGACAGAACTGGAAGGGTTTGTCGTTGCAGACAGAAGATCCTTGTACCTCAGCTCAAAGCCCGCTGGAGGATGCACCATTTGGGCTCACCACTGTCCCAGAAGTTCTCAAACTATTAAGCATCAGAATGACTTGAAGGTCATGTTAGAATGCAGCTCCCAGGCCCATTCTTTCAGATATGAGTCTGGGAGCTGCATTCGTTTCCCAGGGCAGCCATCTCAAAGTGCCACCAGCTGGGTGACTTTGCACAACAGAAAGGTATTCTGTCATAGTTCTAGAGGCTGCAGTCTCAAATCAAGGTGTGGGCAGGGCTGGTTCCTTCTGAGGGCTCTGAAGGACACACTGTCTTGGCCTCTCTTCAGCTCCCGGACGGCCGGCAGGCCTTGGTGTTCCTTGGTCTGCAGCTGCAACACTCCGATCTCTGCCTGTCTTCCTGTTGCCTTCTCCCTGTGCCTGCGTGTCTTCTGTTAGGACCCCATGTTGGATTAGGAGCCCATCCTACTCCAGTATGGCCTCTTCTGAACTTGTCACATCTGAACAACCCCCTTTGAAATAAGGTCACGTTCTGAGGTACCAGAATGTAAATATGTTGAGGACTTCAACATATATTTTTGGGGGACACAGTTCAACACGTCTCAGGTGCAGCAGCTCTAAATGCAAACAGGACCCCCCCCCAGGTGATCTGACATGGACTCCTGGGACCACGGCATACCCCTGGGATTCACCTTGGCAGCCCCTGCTGTGCAGAAGAGGCCTGCATCCTTCAACAGCGGGCAGGCACAGTCTGTGTCAGGTCAATGGTTGGGTCTGCAGAGACTGAAGGAGACAGAACTGCCAGGGGGGCAGGCGTGGTCCCCACTCACCCGACTGCTGACACGAGGAAGCAGGTGCCCCAAGCATGGGTTGCAGGGCCCTATATCCGCCACACCATGTCCCATCTCCGTGCGTTCTTCCCACTCAGGGAATGACATGCCTCCTCCTCCATATCTGTTAGGTCTTGATTGGGCGTGGCGCCTCCTTAAGCTTTTCTGACCACTTGGGCTGAGTCAGGTGGGTCAGGTGGGCTGCCCTTGATCCCAGCACGTATCCCCTGTGCTGCTGTCCTCTGCCGGAAGCCAAAATGGCTGAACATTTTGACTACGTCAGGGGCAGTCTGATTTTCACCCACCTGACCCGCCAGACCGGCAAGAAGCATCTCTGTTTTGTGTCTGCGGGCCCAAATCCTGGCTCTGCGTGGGTCAAATGACGCTGATCTGCTGCTCCTGCCCAAGCCTCTGCCCTGACAAATTAGCCACAGTTGGGTAGACCCATGTATCTACATACAGGGAGTGCCAAGAACATGTATATACATTTTAAGTATGACGTTTGCTCAAAAGATGGTATTAGTCAAATGAATGCTAGCGTCATCGGGTGACAGGCAGGACAGTCAAAGAAAATGGTGGAAGCAAGGTTGAGTGTACGCCATATGACACATTGCTACTGTAATTCAATTCAACTTCAAACAGCCATACAAAGATAACAATTCTCAAAAGGTGTGTGTGTGTGTGTGTGTGTGTGTGTGTGTGTGTGTGTGTGTGTGTGTGTGTGTATCTGGCACTCCGTATATATGGGTGTCTCTCTCTGTTGCCTCAGGCTGGAGTGTAGTAGCATGTTCATGGCTCACTGCAGGCTCTAACTCTTGGGCTCAAATGTTCATCCATTCTCAGCCGCACAAGTAGTAGCTTGGGACTACAGGGATACGCCACTATGCCCAGCTAATTTTTAAATTTTCTGTACAGACTGGGTTTCACTATGTTGCTCAGGTGGGCCTTGAACTCCGCTTCAAGTGAGCTCCTGCCTTAGCCTTCCAAAGTGATAAGAGCCCCTAGATAGTAACCTCGGCTGGACCAAGCCTGAGTGGCTGCCTCCTCTGCCGACCAATCCCTGTGAGGCCAGTCCCGTGGCCACGGCACACCCGAGCTAGCCCCTCCTGGGTTCCTGTTGTCTTGTTTTCTGCCCTAGGCCGCTGAGGTTCCTGCATACCCACCTCACCTGGAAATAACAATAATAGTCATCATTTTCACTTGCTGAAGACAATGACCAACCACCGCAGCACTCTGCCAACAGCCTCGTGTTACTCTTTCAACTCTGCACGGGAAGGGAGCCTTTCCGTTTTGCCCACACTGACAAGGCGGCTCAGGCAGGTTAAGTCCTTGCCTCAGGCCACCCTGGAAATGGTAGACATGGACGGTGGCCCCAGGAGACTTCTCTCCAGGGGTCCTGCTCTTGACCACCGGGGAGCCTGCCTCTCCATGCCTGCATTCCTGTGTGCCAGCTTGGGGCTTCTGTGGTCTCCCCGTTTTTATGGGAGCACCCCGAGGCCCAGAAAGGTAGAGTCAGCACCTTGCTCAGGCCATGTGACAGAAGCAGATTCGAACGCAGCTCTGTCTAATTCCAAACCCAGGAGTTTTGTCCCCTCCAGGGCCCCGCGTTCTCACCCCAGTACCACCTTCCCATCTATTGTCAGGGCTGGCTTCATCATTCAGGGGCCAGGGACCGTGATTCTGCCAGGGAAACCTTGGATCGTTTGGGTGGGCTCTGCCCGGAGGGCACAGCATGGCGGACTTACTTCTCTCTGTTGAATATGATGAATTCCTTCCGGACCGTCTCCAAACACTGCTGCAGGTGTCCATTCTGTCAAAGAGCACAGAGAGGCAACTAAATGACACAGCATCGCCCAGGGGCCAATGGAAGGTGGCAGATTGATCTAGACGGGAACCTCGGACACCGAAAGAGGGCGTGCTAAGAGTCTGGGGCAGACCTTGACTGCATGGGAGGCTGTGTCTAAGGGGAATCTGGTGAAGAGGTTTTTCGATGTTTTAAGCCATTAAATCCATCTCAAGGGCCGTGCTAGAATGGAATGTGGATTGATAATCACGAACTTGGCTTCCTGACCGTTTGAATGCTCATTGGGCCTGCTTAAGGGCATGGGGGAGAAGAAATTCACCACCACCACACCAGGTGCTGAACTTTTGAAATATGTTTGCACAGGAAGGGCATGTTGTGGGTTGAATTGTGACCCACCCTCCAAATATATCTTGAGTCTTGACCTCCCAGTAAATGACCTTATTTGGAAATAAGACCTTTGCGGATACAACCAAGTTAAAATGAGGCCGTAGTGGACTAGGGCCGGGCAAGAATCTGGTGGCTGGTATCCTTCTATGACAGCCATGTGAAGGCAGACGGACACGCAGGGAGGATTGTGTGTCCGTCTGCACTGCACTGCACTGGGGTGCCACAGCTGCAAGCCAAGGAACCCCAAGGGTGCCACCCCACTGAAGCCAGGCAAGCCAGGAAGAGCCCCTCCCATTCAGCCTGCAGAGACAGCACGGCTCTGTTGAAACCTTGATTTCAGACTCCCAGCCTCCAGAACCGAGTCAGAGTACATTTTTTGTTTTGCTTTGTTTTGAGTCAGGGTCTCACTCTGTTGCCCAGGCTGGAAGGCAGTGGCACTATCATAGCTCACCACAGTGACGACCTCCTGGGCTCAGGAGAACCTTCTGCCTCGGTCTCGCAGGAGGCTGGGACAACAGGCACGCCATCATGCCTGGCTAATTATTTTATTTCTACTTTTTGTAGTGATGCGGCCTCGCTCTGTTGCCTAGGCTGGTCTTGAACTCCTGAGTTCAGGCAATCCTCTCGCCTCGGCCTCCCCAAGTGCTGGGATTACAGGCATGAACCAGCATGCCTGGTCATTTTGGATGTCTGAAGCCTCCCTGTTTGTGATACTTTCTTAGGGAGGCCCCAGGAAACGAACACAGAAGCCCACGAAGGCAAAGTGTCCAGGACCCATGAAGGACACAGTGCAGCTCCATGGGCCTCCCCAGTGCAAAACCTTTCTCAAGGGCGTGCCAGGGCTACTCTGTACGGTGCAGATGTTTCTTCCCCTCTTACTTAGAGCTGCACGAGCTCCCTGCCCTGGGAATAGTGCTCACAAGAATGGCCAGAGTGTGAATGACTCCACCTGAGTTACCCTTTCACGGTTTTGTGCTGTGAGTGGCCACATGTATGCGGGTGGCGTTTCCTGGACTGTCAAAGAAGGGGATTGGGAGGGGGACATGGAATGGCCCCCTGGGGCGAAAACATAGCCTGGCTTGATCATCTTCCTCCATGTTCAGGATTCCTCTCCCTGGGGACAGCTTCCGAGAGTGCTCACCAGAGGGCAGCTGTCCTTGGTGCCATCTCTGGACCTGTTCTTGGCCAGCCTCTTCTTCTTTTTGTGAAGTGGCTTGGATTCTAGAATCATTTCTTCAAGTTCAAATGTGGGATCACAATTCAACCTCCCTTTCTAAAGGAGAGTAGAAAAGAACACACGGTTTGTCTGTGTTCCACCTGTCACTGAATTTTCTTTTCATTCGTTCACCCATTTACTCATTCCACAAATAACAATTAGCTACCACTATGGGATGCATTGGTGACCTTTTTATTTCTAATGATGATAAAAAGTGACACATTCTAACTGCATACTTTATTCATCCATACACATGATGCCCCTGGGGTGACCCATGTATCTTCCTTAGGCTCCTATCAGTTTTTTTTTTTTTCTTGAGTTGGAGTCTCACTCTATAACCCAGGCTGGAATGCAGTGGCACACTCATGACTGCCCCAGCATTGACCTACTGGGCTCAGGCAATCCTTCCACCTCAGTCTTCCAAGTAGCTGGAGCAACAGGTGAGTGGTACTATGCTCGGCTAAATTTTTATTTATTGTAGAGACGAGGTCTCGCCAAGTTGCCTGGGCTGGTCTCGAACCTGCGGGCTCAGGCAATCTATTTGCCTCGGTCTCCCAAAGTGCTGAGATGACAGGCTGAGCCACCGAGCCTGGCCTTTTTTTTTTTTTTTTTTTTTAAGTATGAAGTTGAGTTGCCTTCCAATCTGATTTTTTAAACATATTATTTTGTCACATATGCATTCTCATGTCATGATGATCTTTTGAATAAATATCATTCCCAATAATCGAAGAATACCATTTCTGGTCAAAATCTGCCCACCTTCCTACCCTTTTTCCCCTGTGACTGGGGCCAGTTGACCCTCAGGCCTGGCCCTGCTCTCGGCCAGGGGTTCCACCCACCTCTGTCAGGAGGAATTTTGCCTCCATGATTTCCAGGCCGTGGACCCCAGAACCCTGGTGACCGTTTTCAGCCCTGAGCCCTGGACCTGATGATGGCCCAATTCCAGTCTCTGCAGGCAGTGCGGCCTGGCGGTTGTGACATCAGCAGCTCTGAAGTGGTGCAGGGAACACATTCTAGTTCTGCTACTTGATGACCCTGGGTAAGTTTCGTGACCTCCTTGGGACTCAGTTCATGACCTTAAAGTTTAAATAACCATACCTCCCTGATCAGGAATTAATAATATGATATCCATAAAGTGCTTCACGTAGGACCAGGCACGAAGCAAGTTCTCCCTGCGTGGCTGTCACTGGGCCTGGTTAGGACTGGGGTCTGCGGTGATGTGGCCAAGAAGGAGAGAGGCTGGACACAGCCTTAAGGTCCACCAGCTTTGCCACTGAGGACTGCATCTCCTCTTTTTACCTGTGTGAGTCTGAGGAAGACACGTAATCTCTCTCTGCCTCAGTTTCCTCTCCAGCGTGAAACGCAGCAGTCTCAGACTGCCCAGGGATTGACTGAGATCGTGTTTGCAAAGCTTCCAGAACAGTGGCTACCTGACCCGGGGCAGGCCTTCCACAGCTTCCTGTTCCCTCTGCTGCTTTTCAGACCCCACACCTCAGAGGATTCCCGACCTTGACCCAGCTTACAAAAGAGGGGCTTGCTACCTGTGCTTGAACTTGCCTTGGTGGCTGCCTGACCCTCTTGGTATCCGCTGGTGCCCTTATCACGGCTTGGGGACAAGAAGAAGGCAAGGGCTTTGCAGACAGAACCGGGGGCACTCCTGGCTTCTCCCCCCACCAGCAAGTCACTAAGTGGGCCTCAGTTTCCATAACTGTAACACGAGGGTGTCATCCAAGTGTGTGAGGCTGATATGAGAAAACGCAGGAAAAGCTCTTAGCCCAGCCCCTGCCATGCAGTAGGTGCCCAATAAACGTTACCTTTGTTGTCTCTGTTTCATTTGTGGGCTGATGGAGTGGAGGCCTATGTCCTCTGCCCCTTGCTTTCTCAGTCCTTGAGGCAGGGCCCCACCCTTCTGTTCGGTCCTGGTGTGAGCCCTCCCTGGATGCCCTGCCGGTGCTGGCCGCTTCCCCGCCCTGCCTGGTGTTGGGATCCTCCATCCCCTTATCACTAACTTCTGGAACTTGAGCTATGATCCCTTTCCCTTACTTCACACACCTGTCCTCCAGCACTCGCCCTCCCCCAAGTCCTGTCTTGCCTACCATTCATCCATTCATTCATTCATCCAAGCTGCCCTGATTAAGGAGGTTGAGTCTCAGGCCCAAGACTCTCCTCTGGCCTGTTTTATCGGCCACCCGTTAATTCAGGCACGCCCAGGAAGAAGGTCACGTTGCAGGTACGAGTCTCTCCTGGCCCTTTCCATCTGCCATCTATCTCTCCACCCATCCATGCTTCCATCCAGACTCAGGCTTTCTCTATAAGAGGGAAGGTTGACGCTCAGGCCCAAGACTCTCTCATCTGGCTCGTTTATCTGCCAGATTCATTCATACCAAGGCAGGCTCTGCCAACAGGAATGCTGAATCTCAGGCTCAAGGCTTTTCTGGTTTATCTGCCCTCCATCCATCCACCCATCCATCCACCCGTCCAGGCCGATACAGCCTCTGGGTCCAGATGCCTGAGGTCGAGCTCCATCAGTTGCTCACTGGGTCATCTGGGGCGAGCGGCTTAACCTCGTGGGGAATTCCACTCACAGGATCCAGCTTCCAGGACTGCTGTGACGCTCACGTGAGATAATGCGCGAAACGTTCTCAGAACAATGCCTGGGACACAGAACACGCTCAGTCCTGTTGGCCATCACCCTTCACTCATTCACACTCAGGTGACGAGCACACGGGGAGGCCTTCCAGCGCCCCCATGGTTCTGGGGTCTGTCTCGGGCAGAATCAGCCATCTCCATAGCCCCTGCCCTCCGAAGCTCTCGGGGGGATGGCAGAGGGCCTGTGAGGGAGCGTTACCACTGCCAACGTGGCCCGAGGCACCTGGGTGAGGGGCCCAGGGAAGGTTAGGCCTGTCCCATGCGAGGAGGGGGAGGCACTGGCTGGGAATGCCCCCGAGGAGGCCATGCTTGGGCTCGCCTTTCATCTACTGGCTGAGCTCCTCACCTGGGCTGGTCGCTGTTTTCTGCTGAGTCTTGAAGGGGGCAGGAGGCTGCCAGGTGAACCAGGAGAGGAGGGGATGCCCGGAAGAGGAAGCAGCCTGAGCTCAGGGATGAGCAAGGAAGCAGCCCAGCCAGAGGGAAGCATCGCGGGTGCGTGGTGTGGCCGAGGCCTGGGCTCCCTGCTTGGGAGTGTGTGTGTGGGAGGAAGCGTGCGTGTGTGTGTCTGTGGGGGGGACGCGTGTGCATGTGTGTGTGTGAGGGAGTATGCAAGTGTTTGTGTCGGTGTGTGTCTGTGTAAGAGTGTGTTCGTGTGGAAGTGAGTGGGCATGTGTGTTTGAGTGTGCGTGAGTGTCTGTGCGTATGTACATGAGGGCACGTCTGTGTGGGAGTGTGCTTGTATGAGTGTGTCTGTGTAGGGGCTGAGTGTGCACGTGTGTTTGTGTGTGTGCATCTGTGTGTGGGATGAGACTGCATGTGTGTGTGAGTGCACATGTGCGTGATGGTGAGTATGCACGTGCCTCCAAGGTCAGGCAGGTCTGGGCAAGTGGAGAAGTCCAGGCCACGGGGCCGCCTGTGCCCAGGCCTGGGAGACAGGGGCACCACACTGAGTGGCCTGCCATCTGGCAGCCCATCTGGAGCCCGGCCTGGGAGGGAAGGAAGGAGACAAGAGGCCGAGGGGCCGGCAGGGCCAGCCTCCAGGACCGTGTGTGCCGGCTAACCAGGTGGGGATGTGAGGGTGCCCGGTGGGAGAAGACATGGAGACACGAGCGTCCCCCCGGCTGGGCTTTTGGAAGGCAGCGTCAAGAACCCTGAGGGCTGAAACTCACAGCCGTGCAAGTGTATTGCAACTGCTATTTGGGAAAAGGGAAGTGGAAGCCTTGGACTCTGGGAAAAACCAATGTGGGGAAACATGAAGTCTGTGCTAAAAGAAGCCACGATGTCTTTGAAACAATACGGCCCAATAAACCACCCAGGGGGACGGTGGGCTCCCCAGCACCAGCTGAGAGGTCCCAGGTCTCTCTCACATTCCGTGCCTGAGCTTCCACCCATTCAGACGATACGGGGTTGGGCTCGGTCGCAGCAAAGACCAGCTTTGTGGCCCCTTTTCTGCTCACGCCACCACGACCAGGCAGGCCGATGCCGGGAGACGCCTGGGCTGGTGGGGTGCCCTCTCCAGGCGCACGAGGGTGGGGATGGCCTAGCTAGAATGTTGTGCAGATTCCTGTCCCATGGGTCATCGTGCCTCAGGTGCCCTCGGCAACCCCTCCCGGAGGAGGAAGCAGGACAGGAGGGCCCCCAGGAGGCTCCCAGGCAGGTCCAGACTCCCAGCATCTCTCTCCTGGAGGACTCAGGAGCCGCCGCCTGTCTGGCTTCCTGGTCGACTCCCTGTTCCTGTCTCCCTAGAGCTTACTCTCTACCTCCAGCCAGAGACTCTCTTTAAAATGTAAATCCAACACTTTTACTTCCCTGTCTTAACCAGTTTTCAGGGGACAAAACCGAAGCCCTTTCTCATGGCCTCTGGGAGCCTCTCTGGTGTGGCATGTGTTCCCTTATGAAAATCTATTTCCTATTATTTTCCTCTGGTTTATTCCAGCTCCACTACAAAGCTGTCCTTTGATATCTAGGCTGCCTCAAGGTGGGTGACCTTGGTGGCTCTTCCGCCTGGAGAATTCCGTGCCCATCTGTGCACACCTTGATCTGACTTCAGTCAGATCTCTCCCCGCTCTTCCTAAAAGAGGCTCGTCCTCCCTTCTCCCCTTCCCACCCCTCTTCCGAGTTTGTTCTCCAAGCGCTGACCACCCTGGCCAGGTGGTTCACTGGCTATCTTCCTCTCCTTGACAGTCAGCTCCGAGAAGGTAGGGGGACAGATGGGTCTGCTCTTCCCACGCCTGGACCGTGCACACGGCCAGGGTGACTCGGTGACAGAGGGGAGGCTTGACACTTCCAAAGGACCCACCCCAGGAGAGAAGCTGTGCGGCTGGGACCTTAGAAATCAGGCCCGAGTCCCCCCGGATCCCAGCCAGCCACGAGCCTGGCCTTTGGTGCCCAAGTGGCTCTGGCCAGCAGAGGGTTCTCTAGCCAGTTGCCAGGGCCATACTGCATGCAGAGGGGTGGCACGACTTGGGGCGGGACCTCCACTCACATTGGGCACGAAGCCGGGCATCAGCTCCTTCGCAAACACAGCGTCCCAATTCACGTCAGCCAAGTAGGGCACGCTCTGCAGGCCACAGAGGCTGGACAGGCGGCTGTCAGGGTCCTTGGTCAGGAGCTGCGATCAGAGAGCAGACATGCTTCCTTGGATTAGCCATGCCCTCGAGGTCAGGGAGGACTCTGAACCAAGGGGTCTCGGGAAAAAACGAAGGGGCCTCTGCTTTTCAGGCCCCTTTGAAGCCACGTTGTGTGTTGGAAGCACCATCTTCATTCACTCCTCTCTTCGTAGCCAGGCAGGGACTGAAGGGCCAGGCTGCTTCTGCAAGGCCATCCTACAGGGTCATGTGGGGGCGGCGACTGGATTTCCATCCCCCATGTTCCTATCTGGGACGGGAGCCTATGACAGGCTGCCTCTCCTTGCTATCTGCAGAGGCTTCCAATCGCACATGGAAGGAATTAGCTGCCTTGCCTTCCAACTTGGTGATAGGAGGTACCCCCATGTAATACAACTTATCCCTGGACAGCTACGAGGTGACCTCCATGATCTAATGGAGTGGGCTCATTTGGAGCCAAGGGGGCAGTTTTCAGCTTCTCTTCCCATTACCTGACTAAGGAGCCAGAAATTACCTGGCACCCAAACGGGGCTTCCAGCTTTTCAAAACACTGTGGTTTATTCGATGCAAAGAACACAGGGGCTAAAAATGAAAGCACAGAGGCCCTGGCCCTGCGACTGACACTTAGTAGCCGTGGGGCCTCGGTCGAGCTGCTGAAGGCTCTGTGCTGTTGCCTCATCTGAAAGCAGGAAGAATACTGGTGACTCCTCCACTTCCAGCCTGTGGTTAGGATGAGACCCAGACGGGACTGGCAAGGACCTGGCACACACCAAGGAGGGGTGCCACACCGGCTGCCCACAGGGGGCACTGGACGTCAGAGCCCCCCTGCCATTTCTGTCCCACCTGCCGCTGCCGAAATTGCCCGACGTACCCGTTGAGCGGGCTGGAGTCACACTCCGTGAGGGACAGCTCACTGGGAATCACACCTGCTGATCAAGGGCCACTCTTTCAGGGCTGCACCCAGGTGATGAGTGCTGGTTTAAACAGACACAATTTCAATGCCACTTGGGAGTGCACTGTCTAGGGCAGCTGTTCTAAAAACACGCAGCTGCCCAGATCTCGGGGTCACATTCTGACTCGTCGGGTGGGCTGGGAGCTACCAGCCTGGGCCATATTTAGGCTTCCAGATGATTCTACTGAGCCACCAGGGTTAAGAGCCATCGATTGATAAGAACCAGTGGTGAGTTTCCTCTAAAGCCATTTAACTAATTACTACTTCAACAAGTTGCTACAGCCATGCAAGGATTAAGAGCTGGGACCTGGAATTCGAAGGGCTTGGATTCAAATCCTACTTCCGCCTTTGGACAGCCCTACGGCATCGGTGGAACAATTTCACTTCCCTAAGCCCCAGCTTTCTCTTTTCTAATATCAGGATAATGACACAACTGTGCCCATTGGGCTTGCCAAGGTTAAAGGAAGCAGAGCCACCCCATGGCCCAGAACACGAGGCCCTCAACAGGGTTGGCTGCTGTTGGTCACCATTCTTTTAAAAGCGACCAGGTGACGACCATATGTGAGACCGAGCCCTCTGCATGGCAGAGAGCCTCAAGAAGGGAGCCTCAAACACAGGGCATCTCAAAAGCAGAGCACCAAGGTCTCCTCCTGTGACGGACCGGAACGTGTGCCGGAACCACCTGGGGAGCTCGTCGAGACACAGACAGCCGAGCTCCACCCGAGGGCATCTGAGGCAGGAGGTCTGGGGTGAAGCCCCGGAACGTGCATTTCTAAGGCCCCCACATGATGCCGATGCCCTTGGTCCTTGGCCCACACTTTGAGAACCACTGCTAATGGTGACCGTTCTGCAAAAAAGCCAGGAGATGCCCAGTTTCTTGAAGCTCAGCTAAAACACTATGTGTAGCAAAGACTTTAAAAAAACTATATGCATTAGGCACTTCTGTTTACTAGGAGCTTGCAGGGGAGTGACAAGAGCCTGTCCCAGACTCCACGGTCCCAGGCTTGCTGAGTGTCACGTTCCTCCCAGGCCCCTCCACGATAGGACTTATTCCACGGCGTTAGAGCTCGGCTGACTCTCCTCTCCACCCCTGTGACACCATTTGCAATCTCATTCCTCCATTTGCTGGCCTGCCTGTCTCTTCCCTGGACGGCTGCAGCTCCCTGGCCGGGCAGGCTGGTGCTGCCCCTTACCTTCTTCAGCAGGGCCACCATTCCCTTGCACCACGAGGAGGAGTAGTGGACACGCTCCACCTTGAACATGTTGAGGGTCTCGTCGATGGGCGTGGCCGAGTGGATTTCGTACGGCCTCTGCAACCCAAGGACAGCAGGCAGGATCAGAGAGGGCGCCACGGGAAGACATCTCCGCATGCATTCACCCCTTGCATGCAGAGACAGCTCACAGATCACCTACCAGCAACTCAACCACACTCTTTTTTTTTACGAAATAGCAAAAAACGAAGCACTTCCTATTAAATAGTGCAGCGTTGGAACCAATTCTTTTATTGCAATGATATTTGGCTTATGATGGAATTCTGGACATCGGGGAACTTATTTATGACAAATCAAAATGTTGTATCTTGTGCGTGGTAACGTGTGAAAAAGTACCCAACATGCATTGCAGGTCCATTGATACCTGTTGTGCGACAGAAATTTGTGTGACGTCTTCCACCTGGTGTTTTTCTATTTAAGTAGACAATGTACTCTCATTTTCTTCCTCCCACATTAATAATATGTGATTTATTGTTCAGTCTGTTATTCAAAGATGATGTGGAAGAACACACTCGTGATTCCTGAAAACCACTTCTCAACTGACAAAGCCACTTTCTCAGCTTGACAAATTTCAAACGGGACACAGGTTTTTCTTTCTTTCTTTCGTTTTTGGAAGCTCAGGACAGTATATAGGAGTTAATGCATATTTTTGGTTCCCAGAAGAATAATTTCCCCTACCATTTTAAAGATCTTCACCAAAAAACAATAGGTAGAAGCAGTGGAGTGACAACACGATCCCCACCACTCATATTTGCGATATCATTTGGAATCATTTCAGGCTTCTTGACTGATATAACATTTCCACCATGCAATGTCCTTGTGGTAGATTTCATTCCTGCATGATTCCAAGTGCTGAGAAGTGTAAGGATCCTTTTGCCCTTCTGCTTAAGAAGTGTAAGATTCTTTTTCCTATACGCAACTTTTTTCTTGTTAGAAACTCGGGCTTTTTGTTTGTGCTGGTATTCCCTTTGGACTGACTTTGATTGTACCAGTAAGGTGGCAGTTCATTCTTAGTAGCTCTTCTGCTGCACTGGGAACTTTTTCCAACAACTTTTTATGTAAATGTCATGGAATTCTGGTGCTTCCCGGAAGATCAGGTCGAATGATGTCTTCAGATGTTATACCGTCACAGTAGGGAAGTATTGAAAAAAGATGACCTGCTTTTGAATCAGCTACTGCGTAAATGCATATACCCCATTTGGTAGGCTTATTTGGACTGTGTTACAAATGCTATTCATCCTTCAAATTGAGCCACGGACTTGTCAACACAAATTGCCTGATCTGGTATGAAATATTGCAAAAATTTCAAATCAATGTATTCCAAATAATTATCGGACTTTTGAACACAAGTTCTGGTCATCCCATCACTCGACGCAGGTGTCTTCAAATGAAGCCTCCACAAGACTTGCATAAACTTGTCTCTACTGAATGCTTCCAAAAAGAAGAGTATTTTACTCCCGAAAGCAGTTGACCAGTACTCCGCAAATCTGGTACTGGAATTATTCCCATATTTAGGATAACTGTGATAAAAGCTAAAAATTCCTGTCGGTCAATGTCATGCTGCTTATACCAAATTGATTTGTGTGATAGCTGCTTTTTCCTTATGTTGTCATCTGCATAAATATTTGCTTCTTTTATTTCACTCTCCACTAATTCATTTGTAAAATACTGAGAAAAATAGTCAGTCGATTCTCTTTCATGATTCGCTATTTGTGGTCCTGTTGTTTGAGGCTGTACAAGCATTTTTTTTGCTGGAGGATCGTCTTGTTTGGTATCACCTTCCCATTCTTCACATGATGATACATTGTCATTGTTTTCTACTTCTTTGAAACTACTAACGTTTTTTTTTTTTTTGAGTGGGAGTCTCCCTCTGTCGCCCAGACTGGAGGGCAGTGGCCGCTCCCGGCCACCGCAGCCTCGACCCGCTGGGCTCCGGCGATCCTTCCGCCTCCGCTTTCCGAGTTGCCGGAACTACAGGCGCGCGCTACCACGCCCGGCTAGTTTTTGATTTATTGGAGAGATGAGGTCTTGCCAAGTTGCCCGGGCGGGTCTCTAACGTTCTCATTGCTGTCACTTTCTATGACATCTGCCTCTTTTCTTCTTGATGGGACAGCACTATTGTGACTATCGTTTTCTTCCATTTTTCTTCTTCATTTTTTTCTAATTTATCTGTATAAATGTCTAAAGCTAACTCATCTTTGCTGGCACTCATATCAGAGCTCTCATTTTTGTCTTTTCATCTTGCCATTGTTCTGCAAACTAAATAAATGGGTAGGAAACTCTAATTGTAAATTATGAAATCACCAAATGAAATTCATCCAGAGAATATTACTTTTCCAATTTTACTTTTCCGACTAAGTGCAGAGAGAGCTATTCAACCTGTGCACTTGATACTTCAGTACAATCTGCCTTCAGCTTTGAAAGTCTCTTTCTTGTGAGGCTACCGTGACTTTCTTACCTGTCCTTTCGAGTGATGTCATAGGAAACAAAGGGCACACCCACAGCCGCCTTTCTTGCACAAATGCTCTTTAGGCTGCCTTCTGTTACAAAGAAGTGTTGGCACCGTAACACCGGCTGATGTTTAAAAATGTATACCCCAGTATATATTCCATCTCTTTAGTTGCATTTTTGTGCCATTTGAATGGAAAACTCCAAGGACACATATGTTTTTGAAAAATCTGTGCTGGTGTAAGTTTGTCCTGTATAATCACCAGCAATCTCTTTACATCCCCTGAGAGGAGACATCAGAGTGCTTTGCTAGATGAACAATGTCCCCTCAGAGGGGACATCCTAGCACAAACAGTTAAGGTTGTGTGACAGTGAGGGACAGCGTATCCTTCCCCTTTCGTCAACAGCAAGTGGTCCTCCTTCCCAGCGGAGTAGGTGGCCAGGACTCATGTGCCAATAGTAACCGGGCCTGGGGAACAGTGCAGGACTCAGCAGGTGGGTGTCACGGCCACGGGAGGTTAGGGGACTAGCCAAGGTCACACAGCCCCTAAGTGACAGAGGCAAGATTCACTCCCAGCAGCCTAGTCCCAGAGTCCCTGCTCTGGTCACAGGCTGAGAGGGAGGAATCTTGCCATCGCCGGATACTCAGGGACACCTCCAGTTGCAGCCCACCTGCTGGCAGGCCTCGGCTAGCCCTTCCTGTCCTGGCTGACCCAGCGGGTGGAGTGGGTGGGGCCAAGATGGCCAGGATCTGGGGTGGTTGAGCTGAAGAATGAGAGGACTCTGGGCTCCTTCTCCTACCATACCCTCCCCACAGCGACGATATGCAAGCTCCGTTCGGGCCCATCTTCAAGCTTGGTAGCGCATGAACCCTCCTAATGGTGCTTCCTCCCTTACCAGGGCTCTTTCTTGCTTCAAAAGTACCTCTCAAAGTTCAGAAGGCCTTTCTTGATGGCACCCCGGGCGGGGGCGGGAGGGAGGTTGTAAGAAGATCAGTCCACCCCCCACCCTGCTCCCCTGTGGAGGATCAGGTCTCTCGGAGCCCCCCTCCCCTCCATCTGGCTTTGTGGTCCCAGAGGTTTGCGGGCTTGCATCACTGCCAAATGTCTTGGGACAAGAAAAGCAATAATTTCCCTGGCGCCTGTGGTGCAACGACCAAGATGATCCTGGAGAAATCCGGGGAAGGAATGCATGATTAATCCATGGGAACTTGAGTGTCTGGTCATTAATATGCAGCAGTAAAATGACTGCCCTCCTGCTCCTCCAGGAGGCTGGAGACTCCTTGCAGGGGGAGGAGAGATTTTATCACACTTGTCTCTGTGTTCTTGGGACTCGAGCAGTGTCTGCCATCAAGCAGGGTCCCAGAGCACAGCAACAATGCATGAATCAGTCCATCCACAGGTGCTGATTGAAACTGACTGTGAGTCAGACACCATGCCAGGATCTCATGGCATCACATTCCAGAGCTGGGCACTGAGGTTGAAGGCCAGGCAGCGTGACTCTCCCAGGCTTGCCTCTGACCGCTACTGCTGGAGGTGGAGCTGTGCCCCCCTAAATCCATATGTTGAAATCCTTAATCCCTAGGACCTCAGAAGGTGAGCTTATTTGGAGCTGGGGTCTTTACAGACTTAATCAAATCAACATGAGGTCGCTGGAGTGGACCCTAATTCAATATGACTGGTATCCTTATAAAAGGGGAAAACTGGCTGGGCGCAGTAGTTCAGGCCTGTCATTTGGGAGGCCGGGGTGAGGGGATTGCCTCAGCTCACTGGTTTGAGAACTGCCTGGACAACTTGGCGAGACCTCACCTCTACAATAAAGCAAAAAATTAGCGGGGCATGGTAGCATGTACCTGTAGTTCTGGCTACTTGGAAGGCTGAGGCAGAAGGATTGCCTGAACCCAGCAGGTTGACCTTGGGGTGGCCACGAGTGTGCCAGTACACTCCAGCCTGGGCGACAGAGTGAGACTCCAACTCAAAAAAAAAAGTTGGCAGGAAGCTTATAAAGAGGAGAAAATTAAGGCATGGAGAGACACACACTTTGAGGAAAGACAATGTGAAGAAACAGGGAGAAGACAGCCATCCGCAAGCTGAGGTGGGAGGCCCGAACATGTCCTTCCCTCCCAGCTGCAGGGAACCCATCCAGCTGACACCTCCATCTCAGACTTCTGGCCTTCAGGACTGTGAAGGATGCAATTATTTTGTTTAAGCCTCTCCGTTTGTGGACTTTGTTATGGCGGCCGCAGGTAATGGTCAACAACCCTCACGGTCCACAGGCAGAGTTCTGATTGTGGTGCCTGACTTCCATTTTGCTCCTGCGATAAGCTGGTGCCCACTGTGGACAGGGCCCTGGCATGAGCAGGACAGGTTCCTACCACTGTAAGCTTGCCATCTTGACGGGTGGTCCCTACCACTCTAAGCTTGCTATCTTGAAGGGTGATGGGCAGTAAAATGTTGTGGGGGTGGAATGAGTGCTGGGGAGGAAACCGATGGGGACACCAGGTGCATAGGGGGGAGGAGAATTCTTGATCATCTCCAGTGTGGGTGGCAGGAAAATCCGAGCTCGGGCTTTCTGCTGGACATGGGCTGGGG